AACCGAGTCAGGTACTCATTTTACACCTGGGTGAAGTGAGGAAAGTCGTGTACTGCCTTTCTAGGGACACATCGTATAAGCAGGTAATGTCTGGTATCGAACTCGTAACCTCTCGATCTCGTGTCCGCTAGAGCAACCCGACGTCACAATCCGTTGGTGTATCAAACTTTATCCCAACAGGGGAAGGGTGTTTGGGAAGTATGGGAGGTTATACTGGCGAGGCAAAGCCTACTTGTAGAAACAAGGCCACACATGTACAATACTGGCAGTTGACCCATGCCCAGCACACCGCTTGTTGCGTGACACCAATTGACTTCTACAAGCTTGACCTCTCACACAGGGGAATGGATCTGTTGACCCAAGAGACGTACTTCAAATGAGGCCATTTCATCTTCGAATCAGCTCGTTGAAGCAGTTTTCTTGCCAGAAAGAGCAATTTTTTTGCACATCACAGGTACTAATTGCCTTGCCAATGCGGTGATGCGTTTCAAACACGCACACGCGTACGTGTGTGTAGCCTCCCGCGCAGACTTCTAGCGGAGGAGAGTTTGTTTCGACGAGCGGCTAGAGCGGCATTTTTTTTTTCGGGGGAACGCCCTTGTTCTGGGACTTGTATCTGCTGAGAGAGCTGTATTGCACGCGCTAGAGTTGGAAATCCCTCCCTCCAAACAAAAATAAACGCCACGCTAGCCTAAGGAGTCTGCGAACGACGCTAACACCAGTCGTACAAACCGTCGGTGAACGTGATCAAATATTCACACAGTTTTGGGGAGAAATTATATTTATCAAACAGCTAGCACCATGATATGCACGACATATTTGACAATCAATACATTTCATCGACCCCATGTTTACAACGTTATAACTGTCACCGTGGGGCCGTTAGAACTGTCACTCCTGAACTGAAGATCCATTAAGATCAATAGTTTAATGTTCTTTAGAACGGCGCTGGGCTTTCAGATGCCTCTTCATTACTATTGATTACATGCATATCAAAATTAAACCGTTGGCCGGAATGGACTGGGAATAAAGAGTGTAATGATTGTAATGATTTCTAAGACCTTTATCTTAACACTTGACATAGCAAAGTCAAAGAGGCCAATAGCAATACTACCAGTGTCAGTGTCTATCTTTATTCATCTATCAATTTATTTGGATTCGTCACTGGTACAAGAAATATGTAGTTGCCCTCACAGACACTACAATATTATAATAATAATAAAATACAATACCAAATGCAAAATCATACAGTACGTAGATGAAGACTGGATCAAAAATACATTATGTACATTAAGACATTCAGTGGGCGGGTAAGGTGTATGCACCACTGATGGTTTAAGATTAGAAAACTGATCAACAGAGTACATGCTGCTACATCCGTTATAATTCGTATTTTGATATTGCTAGAATGTACTGTCAGATGTTACATTCTTGAGACATCGCGCAGATATACGTTGTTAGCACGTCGGCAGAACGTACTGCGCCTGCGCAGAACCCCGTATTTTTGCGTTTTTCGTTGGGTCTTTGGTCAACGTTGCATCAGAATTTAGCCTGTTGCAGAGGATATTCTTTCCGACACAACATTTGGAAACTGCTGTCGAAATGCTAACCTTATATGAGCGAATACAACCTTATATGAGACATTCTGCCAAAGTACTATGTACAATACATTACGGGTTTCGCGCAGGTGCAGTACGTTCTGCCGACGTGCTGACGTTGTTACTGATGTTACTTAACACGTGAGTAAACAACGTCCAACCTGATTAGATGTTTCCAACATGACGTCACATTTGCCCAATATATATTTGCACAAAGATTTTCAAAAGTCTCTAACTTTGAGAGAATATGTATGAAATACGAGACGTTCAGGTATATAAGCCACACGCGAGTTTGATAAAATTTTCCTTACTCTGATATGGTGGATAGGGAGTCAGCTTTCATCTGATTCTCCGGTACTTTTGGCAACATCTCAATGTTTTCTGCCTTTTCCTCGGACGGGATAAACTGTTGCGCATGGCTGGGTCCCTCTCCGCCAAGCCGCGCATGCGCATGCCAGTTGTCGTCCAGCGGTGTGACGCGCGGAACTCTGGGAGGCACTCCCGGCTGACGGCAGCAGAACGTACGGAGACGGGCCAGCAGGAACTCACGGAACTGGAAAAATTTGTCAGAAAAAAAAGGGCAAACATAGATATCTGTTTCATATATTCGATGCAGCAAACAGGATTCGTATTTCTTCTGGTACCTTTCTCCTAGGACAATACTGAGTGACTACTAGTAGTTCTACTTCCCATTGCTAGGTGGCGCTGCAGTGGGAAGGATGCGGTCCCAAACGTGACAAGTATTGTCTATCTTCTCATTACATTTCATTTGAATTGGGTAGAACCCGTCAGTATTGCCTTGATGAAGGTAGCGGGAACTAATAAACGTTGGCAGATACATATATCATACCCGTGTAGAAAGAACAATCAGTGATTAACTAACGGTCAGACGTTTCAGGTAGCATCCACTACCAAGTTTAGACAAACTTGTGATCACGATTTCTGCCGGGAAGAAATTAAACTTTTTTTCACGTTACAAGTACAAATCACTCCACCACTGAGATGGTTACGTTGATGAAGTTTAGACTTCATCAACGTAATATATCTACGTAATAAGATAACAGTTACACATTATCACTCAAGTGGGAAGATTTTGCTTGATCAATTGAACACGGCCAGACGTTTGAGGTACGAGTAGCTGTCGTCAGTGACTGACCTGGTTGTTCATCAGCACGTAGATGACAGGGTTGTAGGCCGTGCTGGACTTGGCCACCAGGGACGGGATGACAGAGGCGGTCGGGGTGACCAGGTGATCCGCGCCGAAGGTGACGATGAGCGCCATGACGGTGTACGGGGTCCAGCACACCAGGAAACATGCGATCATCACCACCACCATCGTCGTCACCAGACGGCCAGAGTTCTGCGGGTTCCCGGAGACTGACTTCATCTCAGCACTCTGAGGGTAGTGTAGGAGATGGGGTGGAGTTGAGAACAAAAGAAAGGACTGACAAAGTTGATACATGTACATTTGTGGACACATCGAGGTCTTTTGATGGAATTGTGAACTATCTATATTTTCAATTATGACCCCTATATTGGTTCTAAACCAATCAATCAATCAATCAATCAATCAATCGATCGATTGATCAATAGAGAAGGGTTGTATGATGTGGTTAGTGTGAAAGCTACTCCACAAGTGCGGGTGGAATACTTAATCACAAACATCAAGATAAGCAGCTATATTTTGTCGACGTGTAAACGCTCTTCGAGCGCTTTAGCGCAGTTTTGAAAGGATACGGAGGTATTGATGCATAAGTTTTTTTTAAAGATTTTACGACTAAGAAACGTGGTTGAGGGGTTGAGATTGTCAGGAGTAAATAGTAAATAGTAACTGAAGTTTCAGGTAGCATCCATACATACATACATACGCCCTCACTTCCCAGTGAGCCACCCAAAACAATACTTCCGTCCCAGAGGTAACAACATTCATAATTTGAATCGTCCGTAAGAATTTTATAATTACCATTCTGACAGTGCGCCAGATGCAGGCGTACGACCAGCAGACAACCGTCATCGGCAGGAAGAAACACGTCACCATCAGGGTGACGGTGTAGGACACGTTACCGGGGTTATTCTTCACCCAGTTCACTGAGCAACCGACCTGCACATGGAGAATATGACATACTAATCTCCAAACAGATCTTTGGGTCACTGAAGTTTCAAATTGGCAAGACAGTATCAAATTGACAAGACAGTATCAAATTCACAGGACAGTATCAAATATTGGCAAGTCAGTATCAAGTCGGCAAGACAATATCAAATTGGTAAGACAGTGTCGAGTCTAAAAGACAGTATCGAATTGACAAGGGAGTATTAACACAGGGTTGAAGTATCAAATTGTCAAGACAGTATCAATTTGTCAAGACAGTATCAAATATTGACAAGTCAGTATCAAATCGGCAAGACAGTATCAAATTGGCAAGGCAGTGTCGAGTCTAAAAGACAGTATCGAATTGCGAATTGACAAGGGAGTATTAACACAGGGTTGAAGTATCAAATTGTCAAGACAGTATCAAATTGTCAAGACAGTATCAAATATTGACAAGTCAGTATCAAATCGGCAAGACAATATCAAATTGGTACGACAGTGTCGAGTCTAAAAGGCAGTATCGAATTGACAAGGCAGTATTAAATTCACAGGGCAGTATCCAAAACCTCGCCGATAAAATATAACTGTGCAAGAAAAGAAAGCCCGGTAAAAACGCATAAAACGCATAAAATAAGTGAAAGCCTAAACTTCTGCTTGGAAAGTAATAACAGGGGAGTGCACTAGTCGCACTGAAGTACGTTTCTCATAAGTCACTGCTATATGTGACGTTCGATGATTAATTGTGGTAATTTCTCATCCATTGCTATGAATGACAGCGGCAGAATGCAATGCCTTGCTGTTTCATTAATGTTCTTCAAATGCCAAACGGGGATGGAGGGCATACATTTTAGCTAGTGTCTCTCCTTACAAAGTTGAGGAACTTTGTACAGAAAAAAACCACTCTATTGATAAGACTTGCAGCTAGGTCTGTCTACTTTGTATCTGTACTTGTACCACAATTCTCAATCCGGGCCCCGACAGGGCAGTTTGCGGGAAACTATGATATAACATACAAGAAAACACACACAAAAGTTTAGAAATAATCATGAGCTCTATTTGCGTATATTCTGAATATTTTTCATTCACAAACAGCCCGGTCGGGACGCGGATTGGAAATGTCATCACCTCAGCATAAAAATGTTTTCGTACAGATCTTTAGCCTGGTATCTAGCCTTGTTAGCTTTAGTCCGCTACCCAAGATCCACTCCCCGCCGAGCTTGACCTTATCATCAAATGGTAGAAGCCCATCATTTTTTTCTCGATACACCTTATTACATACAACGCCTTGTTAAATGTATGTAACGCATTGAAGAGACAGTTTCCTCACACTGTGACCCTCGAACTGGTAGCTGCTCCAGCCCAGCAGTGGTAAGCTTGTCCACAGGAGAGAGTACAGCCAGATAAAGGTGATGACGCCAAGAGAAGACTTGTAAGTCAGCATGTCCGAACTCCGCACCACCACACAATATCGCTCGAACGCCAGGGCGCTGAGGGTCACCAGTGAGACAATACCTGTGGACAGGTGACAACCTCTGGTTAGGGCTGTTGTTGACGCAGATTCTGAAGGTTTTGGGTTCGAATCCCTGGCAGGCCCCTTTTTTGTGTCTACGTCTTTGGGAAAGGCACCTTACGCCTTAGTTCCTCACTTGGCTCGGGTGAAAATGAATACAAGTACCTAGCTTCGTTAGGGACGTCCTCTTGGATAGGACGTAAAGCCCGAGGTCACGTTTTTTTACGGAGAGGCACACCTTGAGCACGTTTAAGATTACACCACATTTATAGAAAAGAGTAGGGGGTCCTTCCCGGTGTGAGTGGTCTCAGGTCTGACATCTTTAAAAAGGTGATAGCCACCTGTTATGTCAATCCTCTCAGAATGTAGTAAATCTTCGTCAAAGGCATTCATTGCAATTTAAGGGCGACAAGACATGACATATTCTCTGGATGAGCAAATCTGTCTGATTTTGACATTTACTGCCATTTCTTATGATCGTATTTTCGTCATCGTTTTATACACGAGGCATTTTAATAGTCAGAAACATCTTACGTGAGGAGTTTATTTTTGGAAGCACCATTAAACAGCTAAAACCAGCAAAACATGAAAAACAACCAACCGTCTTCCATCATCGACAGTGCATTTTTGCCTCATAAATGCCAGTATGCTATGGGATACGGTTGATTCAATTTACTACATTAAAGCAAACAACAAATGATCAGAAAATCGACCTTGGAAACCCAGTTTAAACTGCTATGCATGCTCGGAAGTCGCCTTGGGTGCCCTTAAATGATTGATGCGAAGTTCAGTCTGTCTGGAAGAGGGGCACATCTGAGCGTCTTTGCTTTCGGCTCTGTGGCTGCTCATCCTTCTTGTTTTATCGATTTTCTGTGTTCAGCTCACAAATTACAGCGTTCAGTCATCTTCCTCTCGCGTTAGTTTCCCGTCTGTTACGACTTGCCGTCTAAGGTCTTTGAAAAATTTGCCTTAGTTCGATTCCTCTTTTCTAAGAAGTGCATTCAGAAAGTGGTGTGCCTCACCTGGTTTGGAGCGGCATGATATGTCAGGATATAAGTATAAAAACTACATACGAAGCCTTCTATCGGTGTCTTCTATCGGTAACTTAAAATCATTGCTGTTATTTTCTTACAGACACGTTGACATGTGGATACTACGGTCAGAAGGCCACGCAGGGGACCGCGGTAAAGTTTTCTTATTGGACAGGTGGTCTTCCTGGACAGGTCAAAATTGATACTTTCGCATATGGCAAAAAATTGGAGACCTGGAAAGTGTGGTTGTCATGGATAGGTGGCTTGAACCATCTAGGCACGATTGATTGTAATGAACAAACCTTACTCACCGAACAAGCTGTTGGCGAACCCGTACCAGACACAGCCGGGCCGGCCCCACAGCCAGCGGTGTTGGACGGCGGAGGCGAAGGACAGCGTGTTGCCGCACACGGACACCAGCAGGTCGGCCACGGACATGTTCAGCAGCAGCAGGTTGAAGGGCGTGCGCAGCTGCCGATGACAGCCGATCAGCAGAATCACGGCCAAGTTGTTCACGAAGCCCACAATTCCTGAGGGGGGATACACAAGCTTAGTCACGTTTGGGACCGCATCATTTCCATTGCAGCGCCGCCTAGCAGTGGGACGTAGAATGTCAGCATTGCCCTGAGGAAGGTAGCTGAATGACTACCAAAAGGCTGGCAAATGAATATGTTTTGCATGTGTGAAAATACCATTGTCAACCATTGAATTGCCAACCTGATTAAACTATTAATCAACCCACCATTGTAATGTGTGGGTCTCTTTAACTTTCCCAGCTAGATTGACAACTGATCATGCAAATGGACCATTTCGATGGGAAATTCAAAGACATTGCTGCTTGGAAGATTGATTTTCAGTGCTATTAGCCTCTCTACCTAGAAGAAGCTAACATAAATCAAGCGCACCTAATATCTTTGGACCAAAATAGACGTAATCTTGATGTAGCTAGACAAAGCAGTCTACCAGCTTCAGCAGTGCGAAATTCTAAAGGCGCTTCTTCAAATGTTTGACTCAAAAAGAACATGCAACTCGCCTTTTTACAAAACACGATAGCTACCTTGACATATTGATGAATAATATGACGTTGTTGACACGTTGGCCAAGACGTGGATATAATTTTCAGTCTATATATTTGCATTTGTAATACAGCAAATAAATAAAGATAAAAAGTGAAATGTTGAGCTCCTTATTTTCGGTCTCAGCAAGGAGCTTATACTTATAGGCTTCCCGGTCTCAGAGATAGGGAATGATTCAAACATCCTCACGGCCCCAGCGGTCGTTTTCTAAGATGGATGACTGATTTGTTTCCTTGTGAAGACTACGAGGCTAGGCTGAACGTGAAATACAGCCTGTGTGTCATCCAGACGTCACCGATGTACGTCAACACCGACTGCAGAAATTCCCCGACCAATTCTTACATTCAACTGATTTTCTAGAGACTTCAACAAGAAAATCCGAAATACACTGGATAATAGTTTATTGATCTACAAAGTGACGTTGGGAAGTTTAACGTGCTCGAGGTGTGGCTCTCCTCAAACACGGCACCTCCGGTCCATTAAAGCTAGGTACTCACTTTTTTCAACAAGTAAAGTGATGAAATAAGTGTAAAGTGCCTTTCCCAAGGACAAAACAGTAGTGGGGACCGCCAGGGATTCGAAACCAGAACCTTCAGATTCTTAGTAAACAACCCTAACCACAAGTCCACCACCTTGCCACCTCATTTGTGTATGCATGCAGTCTTAACGAACACGAAAAGATCAATAGGAAAGTTAGACAAGGCATCAATCAATGTTACCCATCCTCCAGGGATGGCTATCTGGTTTCAGGTTTTCACTTAGTCGCTGAGCTACAATCACTTAAGTCACGACTAACAAGGCAAAATCGAAGAGTGAGATGAATTTAAAGGCGATAGGACGAATGAGAAGTAGCTGATAACATCTTGCATTTCACCCCGACTGGAATTTTCCGGAACTGAATATTTCCCAATACTGGATGCAACTGAAGTCCCATCCACGTGTTTGGATTACATCCAAGTATAAAAAGGAAATAACTTCATCTCTTAGGTACGTAGCTTATTGGGTTTCTGTGCGAGGCTCATTTCCCCATAGATTGTTCTTGCCATGATGATAAGGCCTCTATACGGACTTGGCTAAATAGAACAACACGTCATGCTGTTTTCGGAAAGCATTGTGAATCGTAGATACGAGTACAACCGAGGAAAATGAAGTTGGTACAGTCTTTCGTAAATGAGTTTATCCTCTTCAAAACAATTGCTTTATTTGATATGTACAAGTGTACCAACCAACATCTCATGTCATATGGTAAGGGAATACGTGAATTTTGATTGCTTTGTCTTATTCTACGACGCAAAGGTCGAAGAAGAAACGGATTAAATTTGTGATTGCAGGTGACAGTACTGATACTGCCCCCCTCCCACTACCCCACTGACAGCATCATGGGAAATCTCTAGACTGCTTATTTCCCGTTAGGCCATGTTGAATTAATTATATGGATGACATCACCGCGCGCACGAATTTTTGTCCATTTCAAAAAACGTTTTCGACCATACTGTAAATCTTACAAAGAGTCAGAAAAATGAGCAAATATATGCCATAACTTGTAAACAAAATATTGGAATACGATACTAATGTCGTAGACTAGTGCCGAAATCAATTCCAAAGGAAAGTAGGGAAATAAAGAATCAATCATTCCCCATACCATATTCTAGGTGTGTGTGTAGTCATCATTTTGTTCAACCTTCATAATCACGTAGATTTTATAATGAAGGCAACTTTCTTTGCCAAATTCTTTTTATTCGCGCGCTCGCATTAGTTTTGGGGTTCCCAGAGGATGTCACCCACATAATCAAATCAACATGGCCCAAGGCAAATTGAATGATCTGATCAATGCTGTCCTTCTGTATGCTGCATGTTCGCCAGGATTCTGGTTCTGTCTTCCCGAGTTTTCTCTGGTGACGTCGATGAGGTATCAGTGAATCTGATCAGGTTTCTGGCAGGGAGTGCGAGCTTCTGCGCCCTCTTTCTTTCTTCAGCCCAGATGAGGTCGTCTTCGTGTACAACACGTTCCACCGCAGGCTTTCAGTTTGTCTGATCAGGTTTTCGGTAGGGAATGTGAGTTTCTGCCCTCCTTCTTTCTTCAGCCCAGATGAGGTCGTCTTTGTGTACAACACGTTTCAGTATGCCTGATAGCCTGTGTTGTTAGACCTGTGTAACCTTCTCCCTGCTGCCTTATCCTATTAGAGAATTCATTGTGCTCACGAATAACCGTAAGGCTATCAGAACAGCGTTTAACAATCATTTTCTGACAGCAGAATGATTTTGACACAAACCGCTCTGAAATCATTGATTTGGTGCGAATCGTTTGCAAGTATGGGATTACATATGGCATTTCATAACCACGGTACATCTATCATAGTTGCAGCTCAATCGATCTCTTAATACGCTCTCTATATGAAAGTAATGAAATTAAGCAGAAAGGAAAAAACACTATACTACCACCAAATTCTAACCCCAAAATACACACACTTCTCCTAAAGCTCCAGTACGGTAAGTGTAGTTTAAATATGCTTAACCTTAATTGGGGCAAATCTGTGGTCATCTGTACGTCTGTTTAACAAACATTCATTCATACCGCACGCAGAGATGTTGTTCCAACTTCCTGTGTTGCTGTTACGGTTTCGTCAAGGCAGGATAGTTAAATGCTGTGGTTATATATTATATACATGTATATAGTACAGTGTACGAGGTAAATTTAAAGCGCTTTCGTTCATGAGGTATTAGCGAACTCATAATTCAGCCTACAGTATACATGTAGCGGTTAGTGATTACTTACAATTCCTGTACATGTTTAAAACGTCAGAGGATATCCACCGACTCATAGCCATTCGTGAGTAGAGCCCAATCGGCTTTACAATGTGGTTACCGGAATAAACCGGAGGAATTCGCGAAGACATAATACGGACATTGTACGTGTGTAGCGTCGACAGGTTTGGCTGGGATCACGGCCATTCACGGTCATAAAACCGTTGCATGATAAGGCACGAATGGACTGTGGATTCGAAACTTTGGAAACTGCATGTATCTGATACATGTCGCACCAAAAATCTGTATGTCACTCACCTATGAGTGCCAGGCCCGTAGCGATGGCCGTGTATCCGGCGTCACTGAAATCTTGAAGTTCCTCCTTTCCTCCTTCTATTACGTCTTCGCTGGAGTTTGAAGGAGAAGAACCGTTCCAGACGTAATCCTGGCTGTACGGCGTATCCCAGGGCAGGTCATGGGCCGGAGCTGAGGCGTTGTAGAGCGGCATCGTCTCATCTGGTCAGGCGAGAAGGCTGCACCTCTGTAGCCGCGTCAGCGATGTGACACCGACTTCCCAAATGAGCTAGTGTTTATATATACTGCTGTAAATATTAACGTTACGCACCTCAAAGTAAAAAAGTAAAGACGGATGGTTAATAGCCAGTGGCCATGCCGATATCCTACAAGGCTAAATGTAATGGTTATCTTTTTTGGCACACAAGACTATCTAGCAATCACTTCCAACGATTTGGAGTGAAGGCAGTTGCCGCACTCGCGTCTGTGCACTTCTGAATTCACGTTTCAATGGAATTGCATTAGAAATCCTCAGCGGTACCTGATCAGATGTAAAGTCAGGAAGTATATATAATGAAATGTCAGAACGCCACAAGCTTCCACAATATAACAGGGTGACGACAGAAGCACGGGAGTATGAGTTATAATTCAGCTGAATTGCCTAAAGTGACAAGTACTTTATTCAACGCCTTATGTAAGCTTGATATTATTCACTATCAGTTTGTCTGTCAACCGTCTGCCAGTACTGCCTCACTCCATATACATTCTTTCACCTTCAAATCAACTTTCTGACGTTCAATCGTTCATATAATCAGTAGTTTGGCAACTTAAAAGATGGATAGGCAGGCAATTTTCTTTCCTGTTATTCCAGGAAGTTCCATTAAAAGGCTCCCACCTGTGAACAGTGAGCGGCAATGCACTTCGGAGAATTTGAATAAAAAGTATGTAAATTCTAGCGTCGTGCGTTGTTCATCATGACACACACGGCACATAATGTATTTTCATATAACCTGTACGCTTAGAAGCAACAGCGTAATGTAATTAAAAAAAGTAGAGTCAAATTTGTGATTATGGTTTGTGACATTGAAGAGATGTGTTGAAGGTCGAACAGTGAGCGCCAATGCACTTCGCAGAATTAGTATAAAAAGTGTGTTAATTCTTGCACAAGGGACCTAATATGTGTTTATATAACCTGTACGTGTACAAGCAACAGCGTGATGTAATTAGAAAAAAACTACCGTCAGATTTGTGATCATGTTTTGTGACATTGGAGGAATGTGTTGAAGGTCAGGGAAAACACGTGAAGCAACCAGCAGCATAAACATTGATGAATTTTAATTTATTGCACTTTTTGTGCCCCGCTGGGCTAAATACAGGTAACATGTTGACAAAACATAAACGTGTATATACAAACTTATAGTACATTGGACTCCTCTTGCTTCTTAGTAACAATGGAAATATAGGAGACTGTATGATTAGTTAGAAGTGGCTTGTCGAAGGATATAAGGAATATAAAGTTGTCTGTACTATTCAAATATTTGAACTGGGGGAATTTATATTACTTAACACATAACTGAAATAATGATTCTATCGCTATCATACAAAGGGCAATCTAGGGTAAAGTGAACTTCGTCTTTTACTTTACCTACATACTTTTACATACTTAAACTATAAAATTGGCAGATTCTCTGCTCTAGAGGAGTGTGGTTTGTAATATGTCTTCCTGATTCCATTCGCAATTTGTGGTGAATGATTCTTAATTTTGGTAACGGTGGATCTGTGACGTACGTTGGTAATGTTGAGATATTCTTCTTCGTTATAAGATATAATCTCTATTAACGTTAGTATTTAGTCAAATCTCAGTAAGCCCATTCATGTACCGGGAAGCACATGAATTTTTCCATAATTCAAAGTGCCTTAATAGGTGTGATTCTGATAAGGCGAGACTTACTGGAAATCGTTTTCAACTCGCGGGGATTCAACTTCACGGTAGGGGAAGGGAGTTTTTAAAGTCCCTGACACACATAGTCGAATATGGCCTCCCTAATACTGGCATAATTAGAATGGCATTTAAGGATTAATTAATAACTATAGAACGTTATGTAATATTAGTCCATCATCAGTCATCTGGACAAGCAATATTTGCAGATAAAATGAACAAATTTACTTACCAGCATGACTTCTAATATTCCTTTCCAATCTGTTTAGCTGTGGAACCGGTGCACAGTGCACCACATGGTGCCAGGTTCGTTTTCTCGCTATAACAGTGCAATGCCGAGCACGCACCACTTCCCTTGCCTAATAATTCACAATTACCTTAGAAGCTTGCCAGGGGGGTGCCATTTACCTTGGCAATCATTACCGGAAAGTTTCATGACATACAATCTTTTTCTAAATCGCCCGACGTGACTATTCTTACACGTTGCGCAGATTGCAGTCTATCCTATTTGTATGGCCTGTCTCGCGGTTACGTCGACAGGCATTACATAAGCTTCACTTAGCCCAGGCTGTTATTTTACAGTGGTTTTGAAAGTGGTCAGTGTAGAAGATGAATCGATTGGAAAGAAAGAACTGTCTGTCTTTGGCTGCATACAAATGAATAAAAGGAGCAACATGTGTCTGCTGGGACATCAGGACTGCAAACTGCTTATTCGCTGCCGTACGAGTCTGTCTTCCGAAAATCAAACGTCTCTTGAACATGAAATCTCAAAAGAGAGATCTCAAAGCTACAATACACATTTAATTTTTCATGGGAATTTACTATTTTTATTCATTATTGATTATTTCTCACCGATTCTTCCTACAACAGACATGCATGTTGCAGGAAATTGAAGGCAGGAAACGAGATAACCTTTCTTTTGGGCATTTCTGTTCTGGGACCTTTGAGCTAACTTCCTGTCAGTGCCCCCGACGTGCCTAGTCTGTGAAAAAAAAAATCGTAAACAAAAACAAACAAAAAGACACCGAAAATAAAACCTATACGTACACAGATGTAATGACAAATATACATATATATATAGAGAGATTCTTTACTGACTCAACAAAAGTACAGGAACTTCCGTATGATCTACAACACAATGTACAACTGAGATTAAACAAAGCTAAGTGCATGTATGGATAAAGTCATTCTACTTGCTAGAATGTAAATATAGGAAGAGGCCCTCCAGTGTACACGTTAACAATGTACACAAAATATATATCCAACTCCCGTACGCTTGGGACTGCATTGTAGATACATTTCCAGTAATCACGCATATGTGTAGATATGTAAATATTGTACGTTTGGGAATTAAATGCATCTATAGCAGCGACACCTGTGCTGCAATGCAATGTGAACCAGTCAGAATTGCCCTGAGCAAGCTGACAGACAGTCACCGAAACGTTCGGCTGAATAAAGACTTGGTTGTGTAAAATGAGTCTCTTTATTCAGTGTCTTACCAACCTGGTGAAACTATTCGCGAATGTACATGTTTATTCAGGGCATATCACCGAGAAAATTGCGTAAGTTACTGACCGTGCATGTGACCGACGCCCAAATCCAGGCTTCCCATTTCGACTCAATTCCTCGTCCATGCTTCCCACCCTGACACTGTTAATCACCTTGTGTCGCGGGGAAGTAGCCGCAAAATCCCCACGGAAGTAATTGTAACATCACGGGTGGTGGTAATCACTCGTCTTCGTCTTCCTTTAATTATCTTCTCCGAAAGCAATTTCCAGATAATTTACCCTCTAAACCTTCTCATCTCAAAGGCTTTGCTAGAGTAGATTGAGAGAGTGCAGCCGATATTCAGTTACAAATGTAGGAAATGTTCACCTTTGCTCAAAGAATATAAAGACGATAGCTTGTCGAAGAAAGTTAAAAAGCAACACCGCGAAAAATGAAAAGAGTAGGGGTCCTTCCCGGTGTGAGTGGTTCAAACCTTACAGTCTGGTCTCAGGGGTGACACCTTAAAGAGGTGAGAGTCGCCTGTTATGTCAATCCTTCCACAAATGTGGTAAATCTTCATCGATAAAAAATTGTTAAGGACTTTTTCGTATCCAAAACCGCATGTTTTATCTAGGACAATGTTTGGCCCAGATTTAATATTGGATACATTGTATAGCCCACGCGTATCCAGAACCGTGCCCTGGACCTATCTACGATCATGGATAAGCGAAGACTAGATCCAGGAACCACGCCTAATCCTAAAGCAGCGAGTAAGGCCATGTTGATTTGATTATATGGATGACATCCTCTGGGAACCCCAAAACTGACGCGAGCGTGCGAATAAAAAAGTTTGCAAAAAAGTTTCCTTCATTATGAAATCTACGTGGTCATCAAGGTTGAACAACCGACTAAACACAGAGTATTGCATGAGAATAATAATAGACTAAAAAAATAATAGACCCTTCATTTTCATTTCTTCACATTTTCTTCTTTTCCTGAATTGGTTTCCAATACTCTTTTTGCAACATACGACACATATTCGCTCATTTTGTACAATTTATAGTATGGTGGAAACGAACGAAAATTCATGCGCGCGCGGATGTCATCCATATAATCAAATCAACATGGCCTAACCTTAACCCATTCTGGCTTAGAACAAGATAATCACGGTTCTGTAGACCCTCATTATGTTCAAACATGGCACCATGCCAGACTATCTCTTGCATGACCAGTAATGATTGCGACCTTTACACGGTCACAAGGTTATGACGCCACCGGTGACTATTAATAAATCTCCAAGCAAACGAAAGACTATTTATTTTCGCACCTCCTTTTTTCAGGGCATCATGCGTTTGACGGTGTGCGTTTTCTTATGCACGCGCAGAGGTGGAAAGGAAAACAGACAAACGCGCAATATACTGAGGAAATCTACAAAACGACATACAAAACATGCAGGAACCATACCTCTGCTTGGAGATCAATAAATGACGCAGTGCAAACAAACATCGATCCTGTGTTCGATACAAAAACTCGCCGTCATGTCGAAAAGGGAAGTCTGTTTTCTTCTTCCTGCCACACTGGCAGTGGTTCTGGCCATTGCCAGTGGTCAGTCCGTGTCCAGAACTACGGCCACAGTGACCACGGGGAACGCCTATACCCCGGCATCGGTGAGCAGTACCGTACAACCCCCGATAGCGCTCAGCACCGAAGATGGTAAGTCCTGTAGTCATTATCAGATCATGATCACCATAATTTGTCATTTTTCATGCAGTTATTAGAAAGGAAGACAAATTTCAAGTAGTTACAACCATACCACACACTGAAAGTTTTTAGTAGGCATCAATTCGATGTCGTGTTCACTTGCACAGACTAAGAATAAGAAATTCTTGTTTAGTTTCCCTTTTTTAAAAACCCTCTTATTTACAGTGACGCACTGTAGAAGTAGAGGAACTTTGATGACAAGAATTCAGCCCAATCTCATAGTGTTGGGTAATAGTCCAACCGTTTCCATACATACAAAAACGCAGTCGGATTTTCATTCCGTAAATATGACTCACAGTCACTCTGTTTACTAGATAACACACAAGAACCAAAGTTCAAGTTTCGCTAAAGGGTAACCGTCACTAGACATAAAGCAAACGGCGCCAGTCTGTCTGAGTTAGAGACGTAAAGTAAGTAAAGGTAACCACTTCAGCGAGAGATAAGACGCCGGATCAGACAACAACTTTCATTTCCACGCAGTCTTACTTTTATTGATTTTATCTCCGTGTTCAAAGTTTAACCTACATGGAAAACTTAGCTGACACAACAAAAGGGCTTTCGTTATGCCTTTTACAAGTACATGTTTAGATATACAAAAGTGAATACAAGGTTTATAGTCTGATATCACTATATGGGGTTCAACTCTATTGTACACCACTGCCTTCAAGATTCTACCTCTATTGTCTGCATGAAAAATGTGTTTAAATCCGGAATCCATATATAGACTGAACTGATCAAATTCTTTTGAGCAAAGGCGAATACTGAGTATATGTCAGATGACAAACTATTGAATGTTGTATCTTGTGTTGTTCTTCCAGAATGTAGGTATTACAATTCCTGTGGCGTTTGCATCCAGCATTGGGAGGTTGGTTTGTGAGCTCGAATATACTGGTTAATTTCCCGCCACTACTATATATGTGCTACACAAATATCTGAACTTAATCTAAATACATGTAGCAATTGGGGTGAGAAGGCTGAGAGGAGGAACAAATCATTCAGTTGAAAATCTCGATATCTTTTTAGTTGGACAACAGTTTAAAGTTTCTCATGATGCCTTCAAATCAAATCAAATCAAATCAAATTGAAATCTTTATCTAAAATGAACTTTGTAGATGTGTTGAATTTCTTCTGACACAACTATAGCTATATTGCGTTGAAAATTACAATACAATACACTACAATGCAGATTCATAATGCTTACTCTGCGTTTTGGAAGTCTTTCATGGTTCTCATAATGAAAGAGTAGTGATATCTTTTACCATCTCAGACGCTAGCCATATTGTTTGTGTTCTCTAGTGTTACTACTGCGACAAGGACAACTCCTGCCGCCTGTACCCGGCTGCACATGTTCTACCGGCACACTGTCCGCTGGACCAGGTTCGCTGGGGAATCAGCTGCTCTAGTAAGTTGCGAAGGAGTACAATTAATCTTGGGGCTGACATATCTGAGATGACTTGAGCTAGAGTTCAGTATAGAGATGTACACTGCTAATACATTTGTCTCATGAAGTCTAGACAGTTTTTTTTGTTAGACGTCTAGACGATTTGGCAGAACAGACATACATGTACACTGACGCCTTTATAGGTACCTGTGGCATCTCAAACCAGTCAGAACGAGAAATAGGAGATTACAGCTAGGATAGAAGATGTGCAGGGTTGAAGGGTCGGCTCAATGCCAGATTCTGTGAAGTCCATTTTCTAAGCTGTCTCACCTTTTAAATGCGTGGAATGTGGTTTGGAAATGTGACCTTTAAAAGCATACCCGTTTTCCTTAGTCACGTTCCTGGCGATTGTGATCACCGCTGGTGTGATTGTTGGAGTCCTGCTGCTGGCCCTGTGCTGTTGTTGCTACTGTTGCTGTTGTAGGAAGTCACGCAGGAGGTTAGTGTTACTTATGGGAGCCTGTGCGGAATCCAGGGTTTCACTGCAAACTCCGTACGTTGTGCAAAAAATTCATGATCGACAGACAGAACGTGTTCTCTTCGTTAGTTATAAATATAGAATACAACACGGTGTATTCCGTATCGCCCGAGGTACCAGCCCGACCGCGCGTCGGATCGCCCGACGGCCGAAGGCCGGAGGGCGATCCGATCCGCGGGAGGGCTGGGACCGAGGGTGATACGGAATACACCGTGTTGTATTTTATTTATGTCATACCCACCCAAGAAAACGCGCCTTTCAATGCGAAATGAGCGAAAATTTGGTGTCCCTAAACCCAAAAAAATGCGACAGCATCAATTCCAACGTCCGAATTTTGTATTCGAATTTCGAAATCGGTGCACGCGGTTAGGGCGAAACGCGTTCGAATCGTTCCACGGAACATTAGGAAGGCCCGGGCCGTACGCGGTAAGAACCCCCGGGCCGTACCGCTAGTTATCACACGGGCCGGAACACCCGTATCGAACGTAATCGCGGCCCAGGTAGGACATAAATTAGAATATGGCTTGTCAGAAACAAACCTTACTCTTCTACCAGTGGCTAAACCCTTTATCCCACAGCCCTTTCCGTTCTTAAGGTTAGCTATGTCTGGAAATAATAGTTATCGACTATGCATATGAAATTATGAAATCTATTAACTCGTTATGAAATCTACGTAATCACAAAGGTCGAACAAATGACTAAATGCAAAGAGGGGTATGGGGGATAATGATAGACTCTTCATTTTCATTTCTTCGCATTTTCTTCTTTTCCTGAATTAATTTATTGATTTCGGCACTCTATGACATAAGTATCGTTTTCCAGTACTTTTCTTTGCAACATGCGACATATATTCGCTCATTTTGTATGGTCGAAAACTTTCTTGGAGGGGGGGGGGCAAAAATTCACTCGCGCGCGGATGTCATCCATATAATGAAATCAACATGGCCTAACCTTAACAACGGAAAGGTCGGTGAGATAAAAGGGAGAAATGACGGGCTATATTCTAACCTTGTCGTTGTTGACAAACTCTGCAGGGGGTACACCCGCCTGACCGGTGGGGATTTCGACGTCACATTTCACGACCGTGACATTCAGCTGAACCTGGGCGACCGTCAGCCGACGGGTACACGGGCCGCACGTACAACCAGGACCACCAACATGTAGAATAACTACTGTCAAACCATATTAGCTTGTAGCTGCCACCTCTTCAAGCCTGTCACCTGGTCATAAGGGGCGCCTTTTCGAGATCCCAATTTTCTTTCCATAGTCGTAAACATTAAGCGACCTACCAAAGACCACCTGTCCTAGAGTCCTCTGGGTGGCATTCTGAGACAGTGTTGACTGTAATCTATGCTCACCGTTTTTTAATGTCTATGAGTATTCACCAATGAATTGAAAATACACAAAACTGTCAAAATTCATTAATAGTTGCGTATTTGGTTACTGAGTTAATTCTTTTTAAGTTGCGGGATATGTCCCATTGTAAACAAGAATTCGTAGATTTCATACCTCCATGAAATATATTAGTTTTTGTAAATTATTTTTTATTTGTCTAACTATGGAAATAAGGTCGTAATTAGCATAATCTGGTATAATTTATGTTTTTATAAATTCAAATGACAATATTTTCGTGTAAAATTCCTCTCCTTTGTCATGCTTCATTTCAACATGTCCTCATTAATTATGCAAATGACCTATACATTAACATAATATATGCATAGTGGTGTTAACCTTAAAGTAACTTACACATGTTACAAGGTATGAAATTCCGATCATTCAACAATAAGGAGTAACAAAATTTTCACATTTATTATGCAAATTAGGTCATCATTTGCATAATTGGCATCTGTTGATATTCCGCCTGCCACAGATTAAATAGATTACATGTATAGCAGTACCATTATATAAAACAGTCATTATAGAATTTCTCATTAATTATGCAAATTAAGTCATTATTTGCATGGCTTAATTTGCATAATTTGCATTTAGTTATGTACAACTATCTCTCAGCTACCTACATACCAAAAATGATGAAAATACGTTGTTCCTATCTGGACTTATTGGCTTTAAAAGTTTTTACCAGAAACTATCCTGCAGTTCCAGAACAAGCAGCTAGGGGGAACAAACTTACACCACTTGTTTCAGACAGGATAAGCTATCTGTCATTAAAAAAAACAAGACCGTAGCATGTTCAGGACAAAAGATACAAAATCCGGAAGTTCTGCTGCAGTACCAAGGTCATACACCAGGAGGCCCATATTTGACCTTGACCTTCGTCTTCCTAAGACTTACCAGCATACAAAATATCATCACAATCCATAAAGGCGTTATGAAGTTATGCTGACTACAAATGTGCGGAAACACAAACACACACACAGACAGACAGACACAAAGACACACACACAGACACGCCATTTTTCATGGAGGTAACAAGAGTTCCACGATCCTTTACTTTCGCAAGATGATGTCTACATTTTAAATGTTTCTGATTGATTATGCAAAGAAGATCCTTATTTCAGTAATTGTATTAGTATTATCATTATGTTTAATGGCAGACGCAAGAACGCATGCTTGACGGAACACTGGGTACCACAGTACCAACGATTTGTCTCATTTTCTCAGATACAGAGGCATTTTTCTCAGATACAGAGGCATTAATCAAAAGAATCATACCCCTAAAATAATAAAGCAGAATGTATAATGATTATCGTCGTCAATACTATGACTTTACAGAGCATAGTGAACATTGTTAATCAACAATGTGTGTTGCTTATTCTCCTGTAACACTAAAAGAAAGCCGTCAATTATGAACTCGGTGGATATTCCGCGGCCTAACTCACGAATATTCACCAATACGTCACCAAAGCTTACAGCCAATCAGCGTTCGTGGGGGAGGGGGCAAATACCTGGGACACCTGCAGCTGTCTCCGGCACGGAAGAAAAGAAAACCGAAAAGAGTAAAGAAAACTGGTTGTCAGATCGTCTGTGGTCGAATAATTAGAATAAGGGATAGTTGCCAGAACCTCATACATGTATTTGCCGAACGCGCCTCTCAAACACACCAGCCGCCGTGACGAACACTGTAACCTGGACGAATAAATCTTTTTGATTGAGCCAGCTCGGACAAATCATTTATATTTTTGATGCGTCTAGACAAACCCTGTATCACAAACATGATCTGCTCCCACATTTTTCACTGTACAAAAAAGCGAGAAGAAGTTGACCTGTCTGTATTAGCTCAGTGACTAGAACACTATGTATTAGCCTAGTATAGTACCCTTGTATGTTCCTTATGTATGTATGTCTAAGTCAAGTAGTGCATCTTTTGTCTCCAATTTTCTATATACGTTTGTTATGTGTCTGTCATACTCAGTATCTTGACCTGTACCTAGCCCGTCGTGGCATGAATGTACAATAAAGGTATTTCATTTCATTATTATGAGTATGCAATAAAGTTCATTGTCATTTTCATTGTCATTATAAAGTTATCCTTTGCCTTATCATAACCAAGGGGGTTGGTTGAACCTCCTTGTTGTAATTGACCTCTGTGCAGCCCTAGTGAATACAAATTGCGTCATGCCAACTACTACTACAGGTGCACGTACGGCCATCACGTGATTAAAGTTCAACAAGCAACAGGCATTGTTTGATTTTCATCCGCCATATTGTCTTCAGGACTCCAGTCGTCAGTAGCAGCAACAACTAGGGGAGCCGCTGAGTCCGGCATTTTGTACATTCTGACTGTTCCTTGTTCCACCTTTTGTTGTTAATCTTACGATTTTTTTCCAACCAGGTAAGTTTTTACTCAAATATACTTTACAACTGTTAAATGTTTACATTACAGGTGAGGAAAGTTGTGAACGTCAGTCTCAGCATGTCAGCCATTTTAACTTTCGAGATTATAAATGAATGCCACTTAACGGCTGACCCGCGTTAGAAATACGTTACTTAACTTTTTTTCTCTTCCATGTCACGGCGTTATAAAGGTTAGTCTTATCCATAACCGAGTTCGAAAAGTTGAATGCCGCCGACATACTTGTACCTGAGCGTACGTGTCAATGTTCACGGGCTAGGTGCATGCACCGGGGCCACGCAGTGCCCGGACGCTTTCCATTTTCACATTGAGTCTTATATTCTCTATACATGGCTACTGTGTCAGTAATGCTCCTCTTTGGCTTTGGAGGAATTGCAAATATTTGATTTGGGTACGTGTTTGTTTAGGTTAGAATGATATCGATATCGGATCTATTTGGTTCTGAATGAAATAGAAGTATAGAATATTTTACTCGTTTTGACCAAGGAGCTTTAAACTTCCTTGTTTTGACTAGAAATTAGGGACATTATGGGCTGTGCGCAAACTCGCGCAAACTCGCACCAAGGCGAGGCTATTGAAACCACAAGAACGCGCGACAAGCACGGCGGCCGGCGGCATACCACTGTTGTGCCAAGTCTGTGTATAATGTCCTTGGGTTTTCATCGATTTCCCAATGATCAAGAACAACGTCAAGCCAGGGCTGACATAATAAGGAGGGACATCGGCAAAAACTCAAGGTACTACCTGAAGGACGTTCATTGGTACTACTATGATGTACTGTGTGTTTGTGGGCTATAGTAACGAAACGTTACGTGTGATTCGCTACTCTCCAAGCAGAGGTTGGTGGGGGAAGATCGTCACCGTTTTATATATGCCTGGTTTTTT